AGCGCGCTACCGCTTGAGCCAAATGCCCAGCCCTCATTCTCTCTTTAAAAAAAAAAACAAAAAACATTTTGCTCCTGACTTAATTTTTAAATTAGATCACAATGACATTTGTCTAGGCATTAAAAAAGGGGAAATATAATCTTTTCTTCCCAGGGAGAATACAAAGAAATTTAGAGATGGTACAGCCTAGCTAATATAAAGATTAGGAAAGCATAAATGCAGGGAAGCACAAGGGATTGCTGCAAAATTCCAAACACAACTGTAAGAAAAGGGTTCCAGAATTCTTTTCTCAGACACACCCTATTTCCCATTTCACCTTTGTGAATTATGATTCCATCTCTAAAGTAATGGTTTGAATCTTTTAATAACCCTATTTTCTCTTATTAGAATTTTAAATAAAGTGCTTCAAGTTGTAAAAACTCTACAAACACTAATTTAGTTTCTGAGTTAATTTGCAGTCAGTTGTGGTGATGTAAGCCTGTAATCCCTGTGACTCAGGAGGCTAAGACAGGAGGATTGAGAGTTCCAGGCCAGCCTCAGCAATTTAACAAGGTCCTCAGAAACTTAGGAAAAAAAAAAAAAAACTTAGTGTCAAAAAATAAAGAGGGGATTGGGGTTGTGGCTCAGTGGTAGAGTGCTTGCCTAGCATGTCCAAGGACCTGGGTTTGATCCTCAGCACCACATAAAAATAGATAAAATAAAGGTATTATATCCAACTACGACTAAAAAATAATATTGAAAAAATAAAAATAAAAAGGACTGAGGATGTAATTTGGTTATAAAGTGCCCCTGAGTTCAATCCCTGTACATACCCCACCAAAAAAACCCCAAGCAATACAAGTACTTGCAATACCACAGATAAATGAGAGATGGAAGAGGGAAACCCAAATTTTAAAAACATGACCTGTGTTAACCAATTAGATAAGGAGGGGAATGTTGAAGAATGTTTCAAGCAGAGACTTTTGGAGGGCACAGGTGGAGTAAATTTAAAACCATGAATTTTCTGGACTGGGCTGCAGGGTAAAGGTCTATAATCCATGCCAATCTGAGACAACAGAATCACAAGTTCCAGACCATTCTGGGCAACTTAGGGAGACCCTACTTCAAAGAACCAAAACAAGGAGCTGGCCTGTAATCCCAGCAACTAAGAAGGCTGAGGCAGGAGATTCATAAATTTGAGACCAGCCTCAGCAACTTAGTCAGGTCCTAAGGACTTAGTGAGACTCTGTCTCCAAATAAAAATAAATAGGGCTGGGGATGTGGCTTAGTGGTAAAGCTGGGTTCAATCCTCTGTATCAACAAAATAAAAATCAAAAACAAAATAACAACAACAACAAAAAGTGCTGAGCCAGGCACGATGACACACACCTGTAATCTCAGCTGCTTGGGAGGCTGAGGCAGGAGGAACTTGAGTTCAAAGCCAGCCTCAGCAATTTAGCAAGGCCATGAGCAACTCAGCGAAACCTTGCTACTAAATAAATAAATAGGGTTGGAGATGTGACTCAGTAGTTGGTAGTTAATGAAACCTGGGTTCAATCCTCAGTATCAGAGGGGAAAAAAGAGTTTAATTTTGAACAAGTTAATTTTTAGAAGCCTCTAAAATGTCCAGGTGAATATTCCAACAGGTAACAGGATTTTTTTTTTCTTTCTTTCTTTTTTTTTGGTACCAGGGATTGAATCTAAGGTCTGTGCATTCTAGGTGAGTGTCTACTACTAAGTACAGCCTTTTTAAAAAACTTTTTACTTTGAGACAGGGACTCATTAAGTTGCCCAGGTTTACCACTCTGGAAATAGTATAGAGATTCCTCAAAAAACTAGGATGGAACCACCATTTGACCCAACTATCCCACTCCTCACTTTATATCCAAATGATTTAAATTCAGCATACTACAGTGACACAACCACATCAATGTTTATAGCAGCTCAATACATAATAGCTAAGCTATGGAACCAATCCTAGATGCATACAATATTACTCATGCTTGTACAATCATATCAAAATGAATTCTGCTATTATGTATAATTAAAAAGAAACAATAAAAAATAAAAAAAGAAAATCTACAGAGAAGATTCCCCAGGGATGTAAGTATTGAGGGAATAGAAAATGACTACTTGAATACAGACTTCAGTGTTTGAGACTATTGTAAAATTGATTTTGATGACGGTTGTACAATTCTGTAATATACTAAAAACCATGATCTATAGACTTTAAATGGGGGGAATTGCATGGTAAGTTACATCTTAATTTTTTTTGTTTCTTTGTGTGAGTTATAGCTTAATAAATGTTTGCTTTTCTTCTTATAAGTTCAAATGCTCTTTACAAATAAGTATTAAAGTACTTCATCAGCCTTTTTTCTTTTCTTTTTTAATGGATGGGGATCACTAAAGTGCAGAAGCTGAGATCAGGTATCTACTTCCAAAACTGGGCTCTTCCCACTATATGCTTTGGGGCAATGGCTGTACTGGGTGTGCTATGTCATTAACATAGACCAAACACCCTGTGTCTTGATGTCAGAATGTATTGAATAGCAATAAATTTACAGGCTACAACACTTTTATCTGTGGCAGTTCACTGAATGCTTGTGGATCACCTAGTAGTCATAGTCAATGAATTTCTAATATCTATAACACTCAAGTCACATATCATACTTTACATAGTTATATATACGTATGCATATGTGTGTATATATTGCATATATAGAGACATATATTACACATATATTACAGAAAAGCTATGAAAGGGTTAGGGCAGCTATAGAGGTTCAGGAGGCTGACATGAGAGCAAAGGCAGAGAACAGACACAAATGTAAAAAGTCACTATAAGTGGTCAGGGGCTGGGCTTGTAGCTCAGAGGTAGAGCACTCGCCTAGCTTGTGTGAGGCACTGGGTTCAATCCTCAATTACCACATATAAGTAAAATAAAGATATTGTGTCCATCTACAACTAAAACATTTTTAAAAAGTCACTATGGACGGTCAAATAAGATTACCAACCAAAGAGCTTGTTCAGGGAGCAGAGCTGTCAAAACACAGGAACTTATTCTAAATTCTGGAAGGACAATAGTTTCACAATGTCAGCTTGAGATATCAGCTTGGAGTGGGACTTATACGGTTGTCACAGGCAAGAAAAAACACTCTTCTTAAGCCTGAAAACAGAGATTCAGAGGTTTGTTGCTCTGGCAATTTTCCTGGGCAAGACTTATGATGAATGACCACATGACAGGGTCAAGGTGCCACCTTGTCCATTCTTGGGGTGCTCCTCCTTTTGCAGGTCTTGAGTGAGGGGTTTGTATCATTTGGTGTCTGGTGTGTTTAATAAACTCATGGTTTTGGTTTTTTCTTTTCTTCTTTTTGTTTGTACTGTGGATTTAACCCAGGGGCACTTTTCATCCCCAGCCTCTTTTTTTTTTTTTTTGGATACACGGTCTCACTAAGTTGCTTAGGACCTCACTAAATTGCTGAGACTGGCCTCAATCCTCCTGCCTCAGCCTCCTGAGTTGCCCCGCCATCCCCCAGCTGGGTCTGTTCCTCCAGATATGGGTTTGATATACCTATGCATCTATATGCTTCTGATTAACTTGATGTTCACAGATGGTCATTATTATTAGCGTGATAATTACTTAACAACTTGTGCCTTAAAGGTGGTTGTTTTGTTGTAAAAACAAGGTGTAGTCATTTCCACTCAGCACCTAATCTGTAAATGGAGTAGTTAATGGCAAACTACTGCTTTACAAAATGGAGTAACTCAGGTTTAGGCACAGCCTGAAAACGACCGTGCAACGCACCAAAGAGTAACCCAAAGGAGCTCAAGGTCTGCTCACCACAACGGCAAAATTAACTCTCCCACCTTGTGACACCATTGTAGTCGTACTTGGCTCTAGCACTTAAAATGATAGTTTGTAAATATTTGTGTTCTCCCTTATTAGACGACTGTTATTTTCAGAACAGAGATTTTGTTTAATTCCTGTGTATAAAGATTAGGTTTTTTAAAAAAAAGTTTATTCAGGAAGGAAAAACCAATTACTAAGGGCTACATTCAAAGTAAAGTAGGAAATTAGCGCATGGATTTCCGCCTCTTTCAATGAAGGCAAACACAAAACGAGACAGGAAACCAGGCGGAAGAAAGGAATAAAGGGCGGGGTAAAAGGTGACTCTGTTCTCCCAACTCCCACCTTCAGTGTTCTCCTGGGAGAGTTTCAGAAGCGATTCAGATCTGGCTGGTGACTCACTGTGTCCCGAGGCTACAACCTCTGAGGCCTTGAGACACACTTTCCCGCCCAACAGAGGAGGAGAGACAGGGGTGGAGCAGCACGAGAGGGCGGGGCCGACGTCACATCCGGTTCGGAACCAGCCACCGCTAAGCTGTGAGGGCCTGGCGCGGAGGGGCGGGGCCGAGAAAGCGCGCGTTCCTGAGAGGGAGGAGCCGGGTTAAGGAGTGCCGCGTCACGTCCGGCAGAGCTAGAGCCCGAGCGGAGGTGGTGCGGAGCGTTTCGGCTCTGAGCGGCTCGGCAACCCGTGCGTCCTGCGAGGCTGCGGCGGAGCCTCTGTCGAGAAGGCGCAAGAGGTTGGCAGCTTCGACTGAAGCCCAGCGAGCAGCGACGTCAGCTAGGAGTCATGAGCGACAGCGGCGAGCAGAATTACGGCGAGCGGGTACGTATAGGTGGTGTAGGGGGTGGCTGTGTGGTCCCAGCTTCTTGCATCTCTTTCTAGGCCCATCGGCCTCGGCCTGGAGTCGGAGGCGTATTAGGCCCCCAAGTCTGAAGCCAGGAGGGATAGGTGACAACGGTTTAAAAAGCCTTTGTATATACGTGTCTTTGGTCGAAAAGGAAGCCGCCAACCGGTTATGCGGCTTCGTTCCCAAGACGGCCGTTTTTTCCGTTATAAGGAGGGGGGGAGAGATTAAAAATGGCCGCGGTGTCCCCTCGGTGTTGGGGGAGGGGAGCGGTATCCTATTTCGCCGTTGCTCCCTGCGAAGCCTCGCCGCAGCCATCTTGGGCTGGCGGTCCGGGCGCGCAGCCAGAGGCACAAAATGGCGGAGGAGCGGCGCTCTGACGCTGGCAAGGCCTACCGCGGGCCGCGCCTCTGTGGGGCGCGGGGAGACGTTTTGAGGGCCTTTAGCCGAGTGTTTAGGTCAGCGAAGGTATTTTTTTATGGTAATGGAAAGCACAGTATCTAGGGTGTACTTGGCCTCGTTTAAGCTGGAAACAATCTGACGTAAATGCTGGGCCCGTTAGTTTTGGGCGGATGGCGTGCGGGCTTTGTGTTTGGCCTAAAAGGAATGCCGCTCTTGTATCGAAGGGGCGTTCCGGGCAAAAACCGTCGTCGGTGTCCTAGTAAACGGAACCTTAAGCTCGCCAAGATTGTTTTATGGAGATTTTTTCCCCCCATGGGATTGTGAAGGAGAAATTGGCGGGCAACAATTTATGGCGCCGTTGTTTCCTTTGTTTTGGGACGTTCCGATCCCGAGAACCACCACGTGTTGGTACTCTTTGTTTACACCTCCTAAAGGTGGGCGTTGATTACGTTCCTAGATTGGGAGAATGAGATGTTTTCTAAGCTTAAACATCATCGCTTAGCTGTGGGGCTTTGGATGTGAGATACGGAAAGCACCGAATGGCGGTAAAGGGGGGGGGCTTGCTAAAATGTTAGGAGCTAAGGAAAACTTGTTGAAAGAAAGGTAATAAGTATCATTCATAGAAATCATCTTTTGAGACTTACAGGAATAAGTTGAGCAGGCTTTTTTTGTTGTTGTTGGTTGGTTATGAGTTGGTATTTGTTTTTCTAGTACTTTGTTAATTTTTTTTCTTGTAAAGCTGCCTTAAAGTCTGAATACCATTGGTCAAGTAAATCCTATTTAAACATCTTATTAAACTCTTTAACATTTAAAAGATTTTCTTAGGTGGTTTAGTAGAAAGTATTTTTAGAGAACTGCTGTATGACGGTGAACTTGAAACCAAATCTGATTAATTTGGTTTGAACTAATGAGACCTTGCTTATACATATAGATAAATAAACATTAGGTTTTTAGATTTTGATGTTTCCCCAAAACATTGTCGACTAACGTCACCAGGGCGTTTTTGTTTTAAAGCTCTTCCTTGGGCTAAGAAAGTTTAAATTTAACTCACAAGTCGTCAGTGTGGCTTGTGACTATGTCTGGTTGCTGCCGACCAGAATACACTGTTTGGATATACTCTTGCTGGTGCTTGGCCTGAAGAGCAAATGATTTTAAAGTGTTAAGTTATTAACACCAATTACTGGATACTTTGTACTCTTCAGGGAGTACCAAATGATTTATTTCTGATGAGAGTTCCCAGTTGAAAATATTTGAAGAAGTTAAATATAGCGTCCTCCTGAGGTGGGAAAAATTGTTCAAAGAATTAACTAGTAAATATATGGAGAAGGAAATGATTGAAGGAAGAAATCGGTCCCAGTTTGAAACGGAGCCAGCTCAAATGAAACTGCCTCCTAATTTGAAAGTTTTACTTTCTGGTGTTTCTCACAAACCCGAATGGGTATTTGATAAAATGAAGAAGGGGAGAAAAAGGTTGTGTTAATTGATACTTCTTTTACATAAGAGCCTTTGCATTTTAAAATAGATTTTCTAAGTTTTGAAATTTAAAAAATACTTCCACATTGTTGTACGTTGTGTTTCCTTTCCAATTAGAACCTTTAAATGATTGGAAGCCTGGAACACATTTGGAGCACCAAGATAAGCTTAGTAAAACTATAAAATTCAATGGCATAATATAAAAGTAATACTTGATTGTTCAAGCCCCAGTCAGCTGGCACGTAGGTAGTATATACGTATTTGTGTGGTGCAAAGCAATAGTGGTCAAGTCTGATTGAGTAGCCTTTCCTTTTGGAAGTGAGCAGTGAAAAACATGTTCAAGGTTAATCTTGGATATGTTCAGTATAAATGACATCTCTGAAGCCTGGGGGGGAAAAGGCCTCATGTTTTCATTTGACCTCTGGTTTTGGCTGTTAAACATTGTAAACTAATGTAAATAACACCAATCTCTTCAAATCAGCTGGAATCTTTTCTCTTTTTTGTCTCATCCAGCCACTCCTATGTTCAACACCCCAACTTCCCTAGTACTGTTTTTCCTCCACCCTCTTTAGACTTTAGAAGCTCTTCTTTTCCTAAAGATTTAAGGTTTGTGTTTGGAGTAAATTATTCTCCCATTTGGTTACAGGTATTGAATGGGTGAATGTATTTAAGCTTAGAACTGTGGCTCAGTGTATCCCATATCCCTACTTTACTGTGGAAATTTTTTTAATGCATAAGTTTCTTCCAGAATTTCTTAAAAATGGCTTACATTTTTAAAAAGGCAAGCCTAACGTTTACATCCCTTCATAATTCTGAATATAAGAACACTTGAGTTATTAAGTTTAGAGGTGTAAGTTTAAAATCTAGAAATGATCACAGTATCACATGTTTGCATGTTTGGTAGCAACACAGTATAATATTCTCCCCTCTTTGGGATTTTGGCTAGTTTGAAACTTTACATCAAGGATACAGAAACTAAGTAGTATATCCTATTTGTAGACTGGGTATTTTAAGTTTTTGCCAAACCAGTCTCTTTAATGTTTTGGCCCAACAAATAATTTGATGGAGTATTTCTTTGTAGAAGCAATGTATTTGAGTCAGCCACTTACTCTGTGAAGAGATGAATAGTTTGGATTCTATCCCATCACATTGCCTTTCAAATTCTCAGTTTTTCTGTTTAATCTTGGGATATATTTGTTCCTTATTTTTAACCTGTTGCTCTAAATTTTAATTTTCAAAACTGAAACATCTCCTGAAGATTCTTCAGTCTAAAGTCCTCACACCAAACTCCTTTCACTAAAGGTTTAATTAAGGGGCTGGGTTTGTGACTTGGTGCATGTGAGACCCTGGGTTCAGTCCTCAGCGCCACATAAAAATAAATAAATAAATAAATAAAATAAAGGTATTGTGTCCTAAAAAATAAATTTTTTTAAAAAAGATTGAATTAAAAATAAGTGTGAGGAAATAGTTTGCATTGTTTTGTATCACTGACTGGTTAGATATGTCTGTTGAAACCAGGTTGAAATCTTTTCCCTTGGTTTAAATAAGAATGTTTTTAATAGAGTGAATAATGTCTGGATCTAGAAGGTGGCATTTTCAAACTGAAATTACAAGTGATTTTACAAGGTAAGTACTGCTGGTTTTGTGAAAAGTGAAGAGGAATTCAGATGATGAGAGAAGTTTTAATGGTATTTGCTTTATTTATACAGCATTTCCCCTTTATTGAGACCCCAAACCTAAACATTAATGCTTTTATAGTTGTTCATATTTTACCCAAGACAAGGAGAGAGCTACAGTTGTGTACGTCTGAGCCTTAGAAATAATTTGTAAATGTTGACAAGAGCTTATACGTAACTATTATTTTCTTACAAAGAATGGTGATTGATGTTCAGGAATTTTAACTGTTTACCCAGGTTAGTATTCTGGGTATGTCATAGAATTAGCTATTATCAATTTTTATTGGTTTAAACTGTAAGGCAAAAAAAAAAAATTCACCATAGCAAACTAGTCTTCAAAGTCCCCAAAAATCTTTGCTTTGAATTGGGTTTTGGAGGTTAATTATTTTCAGATTGTTACTTTTGTCAGTCTAAATTGTCACATACTGCAGCTTGGATAAGGCTCTTTTGCATAAAATTTTTGTGCTTGTAGATAAAACAACAAAAAGCATACTTGTATTTGCTTGTGCTGAATGTACCTTAATGAATGTAAATTTAAGGGTTGTCTGTTTTTGCAAGAAATTTTCTAAAAGATTCAGGCAAGTCTTTATTTTTTTTAGCAAGATCCTAGATTTTCTTTGCCAATGCCCTTTCCAGTTATTAAAATATTATAAAATATAACCTTGTCAGCTTGCTGAGTTTGTGCATGTGTAATGTTAAATGGACTCCAGTTTGTAGTCTCTAGAAACTTTGTAACAAATTGTAATGCTGATGGGACAAATTTATTTTCTAAGTAGGGTCTCTTAACCAAATATATAACATTAGCCTAATTGTTGCCCTCCGGAGGCTTATAAAGTGGCCACTTGAACTTAGAAACTGAGTTGAAATAAGCATAATATTTATGTTATTTAGTCTGGTTTCTTAAAATATAGGAGGAAAATTGGAAAGGGGTAATGAAATAAGAGCCAGGTGTCCCCGCATTGTAAACAGTTGTGTTACCTAGATCTTTGGCCTCTGTTCTAGTATTTTCAGCATCTAAGCCCTGTATCTGTACATAATCTTTAGGAGGCCCTAAGGAAACCTGCTTGGGCATTCTGATTCCACGATTACATTTGTGTTACCAGCAAACATTTCCCATTACATTTTAGTGATGGATATTAAAAGAAAACCAATTAGTATGATTCCCTTAAATAAAAAGCTATTTAAGTCTTTTCCCAGATTAAATAAACAATAATTGACTGTAAAACTAGACTGGAAATTGTTTTTACTTTTTTAGAAAATACTTCCCAGGATAGCCATGGTTATCTTTATACCCAGATAGGTGTAAAGACTTACCTATGATTGTTTTTTTCTTTTAAGAATTTTTTTCCAAAAGGAAAATATAGGAGTGGAAATGAATGGCATTAAGTGAAAGATTATATGATAATGCCGAATGTTTCATGCAGGCA